GGGCGCATTAATGGCATTATAGGTCTATCCACAAATCCATTATTTCCGCAGTGAAAGTTTTTAAAAAGTGGTCGTAAATTTGTCGCTACTATCAGCAGCTGCAAACAAACCCAGAGGAAGGAGAGAGTGTTTCTTATCAGCTGATCTTTCTTGTCTTTCAACATTTAAGGACGTTACACACGCAAGCAACCATGTGACCAATCACTGGCAGACATCATCATACGTCTGATCAGCACACCAAACGCGATTTTCAATGGTCTGTCGTTCAAATGTTTTAATCTCATAAAGCAAACATTTTGAGGAGGGAGTTGCCCCCCTCAACAACAACAACAACAAAAAATAATTTATTTGGCTATTTATTTATTCTTAAAATTGTTCACAAATCGTGTATCTTTTCTTTCTTTCTACAACTCGCCTGTAGCCATAAAATACTCCGCGTAAAGAAAGAAGAAGCATAAGTAATAATGGCACGTTGACCTTTCTGCGCGTACAGACTAGGGCTGGGTAATGAGTCGCTTTAGCAAAATCCGGATAATATGTTAGTTCACCACTTCGGCAAATAATATATTATGAACCGCTTCGGCAAATGGGTTAGAACCACTTCGACAAGCGGGTTAGGATCCTTTCAACAAATGGGTGCACTCACTTCGGAGAACGGGTCAGGAAAGAGAGTTAAGAATCTGAGTTCGGATAATGTTTCATTGAGAATTATCCGGTTATCCTTAGAGATTATCCGGATTTTGCCCACCTCTAGTACAGACGGTTGAGGAAGTAGAACACAAGGCCTGCCCTACATGGCAGAAGAGGAAGTTGGCGGGGTGGGGGGGGGAGTGATAAATCAAAGCCATATATGGTCGCTTTTAAGCACAAGGGGGCTATCCCGATAAATGCTGTTTTGAGAAATTCGAAGTTAAAGTTTTTGGATCTTTATTCAGTCTCTTTAAAAGACAAGGAGAGTTTTCTCTATAACCAAGCAAATATACGAACCAATGAAACCAAACTTCTCCTATAGATAGGGCAATGCTCACTTGTGGTGTAGGTCAAAATTTCTGGAAATCCCCGAAATCTGGGTTGGCCCGCTTGTCCTTAAAAGCAACCATATGAAGTCTCCGCGACTCGATGTAGCCCCACACAGAACGGAGACCCAGGGTGTGTGCGCGTTGTAAGGTCAAGAAAGTCCCGAATCTTCTTTTTTTTTTCTTTTACTTTCTTTTATTTTGGTAAGTGTTTTATGGCGTTCGCAATTGCATAAGGT